AACCGGAATTTTCACAGTTGCACCTTAAAACAATGAACCAGTTACTCTGAGCACGATGAATCATCTTCGGAAGACAATGAGTGTTGGCCTGTTTTGTAAACAATTCTTTGTCTGGGACCATGCAGGGTGCACAGGAAATATAACAGGGTGCTGACAATTTAAACAGGGCGCCAATTTCAGATAACAGGGCGCGGCGCCCTGTAAAAAACCCTCGTGGAGAACCCTGATTTTAAGGCAGCTTTCAGAAAAAGATTTTGCTACTTTTGAAGGGCATTGAACTTTCAGTAACAAATAACATGCTGTTTTGCATAATAGTTTTGGCGTATTGTAAAATAATTCCTGCAGTAATAGTGTGATAGAAAAGAGACTGACTTACTCTTCTCCAAACTGGACTAGACAGTTATCTTTTGGTAAAGTTTCAATTCCTTTAAGTGTGATGTACAACTTCATAAATTTATCTGATTGATCCCAACCTAGTAACAAACAAACAACAGTGTAAATAGCTCCGATGTCTGAGTTTGAGAAAAATACAATTTTTGCACTACTGAGCATGTTACTGCACATGTGTGCAATGCATTGTGGGAGATAACCTGCACCTAATGTAAATTTAGTATCACCACGGGAACTCACCGAGTCATATTATAATTATTTGAAATGATTTCACAATGTTTGATTTCCTATCAATAAAAATAATAATACAAATACAACTTTTTTTATCCCGTGTCATCAAGCATAATTTCAGGATATGAATAAATGATTTCACCATGGAAACCAGTGAGAAAATGACAATTTTGACATTTTCCATGACATTTCAGACTCTTGAATTCAAAAATAATTTTTTTATTTTTGATATTTTGATGGCATGAAATGAAAGTATGATAAACATGACATATAATCTTTAATTTGGCGCAAACCTCCTCAAAACAAGCCATGCATGGCACAGTCCCTGTTAGTTGTCAAATTTAAGATATATAGTTTTGTTTATAGTAATATAGCTGGAATATAAACATGTCAGGAATATGATGATTGTTTAACATTTAAATTATTGACATTTGTATCTGATCGTCAAACGAATATTGAGAGATATTGCTCTGGAACAGCCTTAATTAAAACGAAATCAGCCATTTTGAATACATGTATAATGAATATATAAAATTTGAACATAGTCAGTCAAAGCATGTCAGAGATACATGTATGGCTCTAGAAGCCCATTCAATAAAACAAAATGACCACTAGTCGGTCATTTTGAATCCGATCGAAAAAATAAAATAACATGCATCAGGAACCCGTAAAGTCTAATGTATGTACCCAGTTTGAACAAAATCCATCCATAAATGCCAAAAATTCTTGATATTTTATGATTTTTAGCACAAAAATGGCCACAATTCGGCCATTTTTAATAGGATGACATCATGTATAATGAATATTTAAAATTTGAACATAATCAGTCACAGCAAGTCAGAGATATGGCACTAGAACCACATTCATTAAAAAAAAAATGGCCACTAATCGGCCATTATGAATATTATATGAACAAGTCATTGAAAATGACACAGTCCCCGTTAAATTTTTGAAAGTTCTCTTTTTGTGCTTGTCATATTAAAGCGGAGGGACTGTCGCGAGCATGTCCTTGAAACTTGAGTTCCAAGTGGCGTATATAACAGAATGTTTATTTACATCAAAACACATGTTCCGTGTAGTAGTAATATGGACAAAAATAAAAACAGCCGTTATTCGGCCATCTTTGATCTGATTATGAAACACACTGATATGTATGATGTATGAGCCAACGCCAATACCAATGAAAATGGTACATAAATTGTGGAAATATAGCAGTAAGGCCAAAACGTCAGATGGCTGTCAATCGGCCATCCTTGACCAGAGTTTGAAACAAATTGTCATGGACATGCATCCTAACATGTATAAAGTACATGTATGTGCCAAATTTGAATGAAAACTAACAGAGCATGTTCAAGATACCGCATAAAAAAACAAAACAAGATGCCTACCAGTCGACCATCTTTGATCCAATTGCGAAATAAATCATCATGGACATGTATCCTAACATGTATATTCTATGTACCAAGTTTGAATGACAACTGACAAAGCATGTGCAAAATGCAACATTTTCAAAAAACAAGATGGCTGCCAGTCAGCCATTTGAATCGAATCGCTAAGCCACTGCATTTGCATATGTCCCACATAAGGTCCTAGGCACATGCAAAGAATGAACGGAATTGGGAATTGGTCCACAGCATTCCTGAAATATGACTCTGGACAGATTGACGCAGGGACGAACGGACACACAGACGGACAGACACAGCAACTCACGCACGGTCAGGGACAAGTATCCTAACATGAATGATCTATGTTTTAAATTTGAATGAAAACTGAAAAACGCATGTTCAAAATACAACATTTTCAAAAAACAAGATGGCTGCCAGTTGGCCATTTTGAATCGAATCGCTAAACCACTGCATGTGCATATGTCCCACATAAAGTACTAGGCACATGCAAAGAATGAACGGAATCGGTCTAAGGGATTCTGAGATACGACTCCCGACAGACGCACAGACGGAGACCGAATTATAAGTCCCTGTTTTTAGACTTTGTTCGAATGGGGACTAAAAACAAAATGATGTGCATCAAGGTCCTATAGTGTCAAATGTATATACCAAGTTTGAACAAAATCCATCTGTAAACAGCCGAGAAATGCTTGATTTTGATGATTTTTAGAACAAAAATGGCAGCCATTCAGCCATCTTGAATCAGATCGTGAAACAAATTGATGTGCATATGTATAATATCATGTATGATCTATGTGTGAAGTTTGATTGTGATTGGTCCAGGCATTTCTACGATACAGGTACGCACGCACGGATGGATGAACACATGGACAGAAGCACGGACGCACAGAGGTCAAAACATAAGTCCCCATTTTCGGACTGCGTCATATGAGAAGACAATGAATATAACAAGAAAAAGCAGATTTTATAGGATGGCATAAAGGGAATTTAAAAAAATCTGGTTGCTAAGAAACCATCAATGTCACTTCTCTTACCCATCTAAGAGAGGTTCATTTCGCGAAACCTCTTTCTGTCTCTCGTTGTTTTAATCAATGATTATCGTTTAATTATTAACATTGCAGTATATTTCCCGACTTGAAAACGAGTGAATTTTTATTCCATTTTTCCCACTCACATTTATTGGAAAGTCTGCTCACCAAAACACTAATCACTCTCACACAAGTGATTGATAAAGGTGATTTGAATTATTGATTATCCAGGTATATTTTGGAAAAATTACATGTAGATGAAGCTAATTATTAATTTCTTGAACAACACTTCAATTTGTATGACTCATCATATCATCATTGCAAATGGAACTTGAACTGTGACCGCTTGTTAAATGATTTGAATGCTCAGATACTTGTTTTTATTTCAGCAAATTAATTGTAATATTGTATTTTATGGAAATGAAATGGTGTGGCTGTGAACATTTTGAGATAAACAAATTGTAATCAAAGAAAGCTTAGAAACACACTCCTGTGTGCTGAGAGTATTAGAGACTAGGTAAAAATTAATTCAAAATTGCTTGTACTTGAGATATTGATGGAAAAGCTGAAAACTAATTATGCAAATCAGAAAATTAAAATGAACAGATTTGAGTGTAAAACTAATATGGTCTGCGCAATGTAACATACCATCTACATGTATGTACGAAGTACCAATCAGAACCAACAAATTATGAATTATTATGCTAATTAAGGTATTAATATGAACAGATTTTAACCCAAAACTGATTCTATTTGTACATTGTGATGATTAGTAGTTGAGATATCAGTGGAAAAGCCGAAAATTTACTAATCATTATGCAAATTAGGTAATTAATATGTACAGATTTTCACCCAAAACTAATCAAAACCTGGCATTAGTTCAGAGCATCTACGAACCAAATTTCGTCAAAATCCAATGAGTGGTTCTTTAGAGGAGTGGAGCAGTCATGGAACAGCTAACAATTAGCTAATTATCATGCAAATTAAGTAATTAAAATGGACGGATTTTTACCAAAAACTAACCAAATCTGCGCATAAATTCAGAGCATCTATGTACCTAGTTTCATCAAAATTAAATGAGTGGTTCTTTAGATAGAAGTGGAACAGTCATGGAACAGCTAAAAATGAGCTAATTATCATGCAAATTAGGTAATTAATATGCACAGATTACTACCAAAACCTAATCAAATCTGCGCATTGGCCCAGAGCATCTATGCACCAAGTTTCATCAAAACCGATGTATGGTTCTTGAGATATCAGTGGAACAGACGGACACATACACACACTCATACAGACAACTACCTGCAAAGACTCCCATTGTGTGCTTCGCACAGGGGAGACAATAATTATTGTTCTGTGAATAAATGCATCTATGTGAATTTAGCATGCATGTAATGGAGCGACCAATTGTATCCATGACTACTCCTAATAAGAATAATTATTGAGACATTGAAAAATTTAAGTTGTCGTTTGTCGGTGAAGTTGTCAACATGTTGCAAGATAACATGGGTGAAAATGTTTACGTCACATGGTTCGTGGCGTAAGGAAAAATCTTGGGGTCATGGGGCCTCCCCTGATCTAGATTTATCTCTCCGTAATTGGCAGAATTGCTGATTAATGCCTACAGTTCAAAATAGTCATTTTGACTGACCAGAGTCTATGGTGGGTAATTGAATGTAGTGAATATTGGCTAATTTATATGCAAATTAGATCATTTATATGTACCAAATTAGTTCTTGATATATCAGTGCATATACAGACACACACATGTCTTACCATCGTAAAACAAGACACATTGGATTAACTTTTAATATAGATGCGATATGAACTTGATTAAAAACGCATTCCTATATAGTGTTGCATTTTAATTGTTGTTTAATTAAACGCAATTACAATGCAATCTATCTATCTATCTACATGTATCCAAATACTGATCTATTTCACATGACCTATTCTCATACAGGTTTATTTCACAAAACATACATCTGTACATGTTGATTCTACCTACCATAGCTTGTTATTTTGACTGTGTAAACATGTGATGATTTTATGTCTGTTTTCATCCTAACAGAGGCATCCCCACCTCCTGCTGCACCATCTGTTTCCATAGCAACTGCTGATGCTTTAATATCTTCCTCTTTGATATCTTCATCTCCAATTTTTTTTGTTCAATGACTAACAAGTCTTTTACTCTCTGTCTGGTTGCAAAACCTAGAAGTCGTTTTACTTCTTCACAGTCCAGTTTCAGCTTCAAAGAGAAAATTCACAAACATATAAAACAGTGACTATT